GTGGGGTTGAAATCAGAATATGAACCAGTTAGGGCCCAAATATTGGGAGGCTCTACTCTTCCTACACTTGAGGAAGTTTTTTCACGGCTTCGTTGGATTTCTTTGGGATCTACAGAGAATCCCACATAGTCTGACAGATCAGCATTTGTGATAGCCAGAGGAGGTGGACGTGGTACTAAAGGGGGAGGACATGCCTCCTGAGGAGGTCGTGGTGGTTCTGTATTTGGCCGTTGTGGTGGTCGTGACTCAGGGGGAGGTCGTGGTAAAGGAAAAAGTAACTCTACAAGGAAGTGTACCCATTGTGACAGGGACGAACATTCGGTGAGTTTCTGTTATGATCTCCATGGCCCTCCTTCTACATGGGCTAATCAAGCAGTAGCTGGTGGGGTTGATGTCAGTGATAACTAACAGGCATATCTAACACCTTCTACATCTACATCTGTTTCCGGGAAGGAGATGGTGAGTGTACCGCGCGATGAATATGAGAGGTTCCTCCAGGCTACTTCACAGCATACTACAACCACCCTTGCCCACTCTGATTACATGACCGAGACTCCAGGTGTGTTCTCTTCCCTCTCTAAAACTTCCACATCTCAAACTGTTACCCTTGCCAATGGTTCCTCTTCTCCCATCTGTGGTGTTGGTAATGTTGACACGGCTTCTCTTTCTTTATCANACGAAAAGGTGGAGGGTCAGGGAGAGAGGGAAGCTGAACCAGTTTCTCCTCATGCCTACACTCCCCCTGAGGAGAAACATGATAGAAAGGCTCATATTCAAAGAAAGAAACATCCATGGAGACATAAAAATTTACGAGAAACAGGATCAAAACAGCGGTATCCCTTTTGAGTGAAGGAGTAACCAAGAAATATGCAAAGGGTAGCACGAGAATCCTATTTCCCATGGGTGAGAAACAGATTTTGGACAAAACACTGGCAACCAAAGACACGAGGAGGAATAGAAAGAAGGGGAGCCTTAGGAAAGAAAAGTTGATGTGGGGCTATGTACTCTAACCGACGAGAGGGCATACGGTTTGTAAGGTAAGTGGAACAAAGAACAACTTCAAGCCAAAACCGTTTGGGAATATTCATATGAAGTAGTAAACCTCGAGCCACTTCAAGGAGATTTTGGTTCTTCCATTCGGCCACACCATTTTGTTTTGGTGTGCGGGCACAAGAGCTACGGTGAAGGGAACCATGCGAAGCAAAAAATTCCGTGAGGTCACTATGAAAAAATTCTTTTGCATTGTCTGATT